CTTTCCTTTCCTTTCCTTTCCTTTCCTTTCCTTTCCTTTCCTTTCCTCTCCTCTCCTCTCCTCTCCTTTCCTTTCCTTTCTCCTCTCCTCTTGCCTCCCCTCTCCTCTTCATTTCCTCCCCCCCCCCCTATTTGCTCTTTTTCTTTACTATTTCTATTGTGTTTTTTTAAAAATATTATTTTTTCCAATAATATATACGGAAAATGGTGCCAAAGGGATCTGTCACTGACTTCTTTTACCTTTTCAGCTGTTGCTGCCAGTCAGCAAGTTACCTTTGACTAAGTATCTCTGCCAGTCAACCTCTGTCTTGCTGCCAAATTGGCTTGAACCAGAAACTCCAAATTATTACAAGCCACAAACGTCAACGGGGTGAGAGATCAGGGTAGGAACAGAAAATCAACTGAAATACTATTGATTAAACTCTTTTTCCTCGTTTAGGAAGCACTGCTGTGTTGACAGTCACGCTCTGCTCTTCCTTGCTCCTCTCAGGCAACTGGGTTCAGCCTGATGGGGTCGAAAAGTTTGCACTGCTGGCTAAAGAGGGGTGTCCTGACGTAGCTCCACTCCTGGTTGCCAGTTTGCAGCCCAATTTCTATTCTGATATGAATGAGTTGGCTCCTTGGTGCTTCACAGGGGTGATTCTCCTCGTCTGGATACCCCAAGGAGCCTGTGATGTGAGGTTGGAAAGCAACTAATTGCTGGTTGCATTTTCCTCTGAGACTTCTCAATGGGAGGTAAAAGTCAACAGTGACGTTCTGGGAGCAAAGGGTTACCTTACCTCACCATTTGCTGCTTCTTCGTGCCATCTCTTGGCTTCGGCTGCTTGCAAACAGGTTGCTTGCCGTCCCCCCCTGAAGAAGGAGGGATGGACCCAGAAGTTCAGTAATTGGAAAGCCACGGATTCCCCTTGGGGGAGCATCTCTTCGGAGCTCCTTCCTTCGGCTGAGCCAAGAGCCAAACGGGGAAGCACCAGATCAGCATCGCTCTCCCTTGGACAGCAGAGTCGATCCCCGCTGCTGTTGACCCTTCTCCCTCCAACCCACCCACCCTCGCAAGGTCTTGCTTCCCAGGAACCGAAGGGAGCCCAGTTCCCAATCCGGAGAGGCTGGCGGGAGAGGAGGGTGGGGGGGGGGGGGGAGACAGCGGCAAAGAGACGCAATCTGCCGCCTGCGGTGGCTCCTCCGGTCGTGCGCCCGGCGCTCCGTTCGGCTTGCTGCCGCGGCCTCCAACGGGGCAACTGCCCTCTGCTCAAAGCCGGGCAGTTTTGCGCTTGAGAGACCAGGCGCTCTTCGCATGTTCAGAGCAGCTCTTGCCTCCCCCGGCTGAACAATTCGCCGACCGGAGCCAAGCGCAGGGAGTTGAGGGGGCGAAAATAGGTTCCCGAGCTGTCTCAAGGTGGTCGGTGCGGCCGATGCTCAAGTCTTCCTCCTCCTTTTCCTCCGTCTCTCTCCCTCTTCCTCCTCTCCCCCTTTTTCCTCCTCCTCCTCTTCCACTGCTCCTCCCCCTCCTTCTCCACTTCCTCCTCCTCTTCCATCTCTCCCCTGCTCCTTCTTCCCCCTTTTTCCTTCTCCTCTCCCCTTCCTCTTCCATCTCTCCCCCTCCTCCTTCCTCTCCCTTTTCTTCCTCCTCCTCTTCTCCCACTCCTCCTCCTCTTCCATCTCTCCCTCT